CCGCAGTGAGCGGCCGTCCAGAAGCTGGCGACTGATCTGCCTCGCCCGGGAAGAGCGCAATGATGGTGCCAATTCGGGCCAGTGAAGCAACGTCCTCCACAACTAGACTGAAGAACAAAATGACAGCAACTTGTCTGTTCCCCTTCCCCCAATTCCCCAGCACTGTTCCCATCCCCCCAACTCCCCAATAAAAATCTTTAAAAAAAAAAAAAAGAGTAGGAAAACCCATTAAAAAAAAAAAGTTCTGTATGTATTTCATCATATATACTGAGACAGTTTCCACTCACAAATTTACTTCTGAAAATAAGATGTAAAAATCCTCCTCATAGTCCACCCCTTGTGAAAAGTTGAAAAGCAGGTCTGTATCTCAGCATTAATAGTTACAAAAAGTGCTATTAACTGACTCTGAAATAATCTACTTGCAAATTACATCCTTACATCTGCCATGTGTAAGTCTTTCACTGACGTTTTAGTGTTTCACAGCTTGGCATCATCCAATTTTCACCCCATGCCAGGGTCCCCCTGTAGAGATAGGACTAATCAACATTAGCATTTTAGCTTCACCTGCCCTAGTAAGGAAGGTAGGGGTCCTGGAAATGAAGGTAGGACAACCAAGACTTAGTGTAACTCTTAAAGCAGGCATGCCTTGACCAGCTGGCCTTCCTGAGGCCTACAGAATTTACACAGGGTTCAGTACTTACCTATTTTATTAAAACTAAAGCTAGTATAAACTCAGGCTGGGAAGGAAATGTCGAATTTGAAGTAGTTTGGTTCAAAATGGTTCCCCATTTAAAGACAAAATCTATTTGCATTTCTCTGCTTAGTGAGGTTGTGCATTTTTTCACGTCTGTTGGCCATCTGTATGTCCTCTTTAGAGAAATGCCTCCTCATATCCTCTGCTCATTTTTTAATTGGGTTATTTTTGGTGTTGAGTTACATGAGTGTTTTATAAATTTTGGATATTAACCCCTTATCAGATAGAGGAAGGGATTAGACAACATAAATTGGTAACTACCATAGTGCCACAGGGATGTGAAAGACAGTTTGGGGAATATCAATAATGTTGTAAAGATTTTGTAGGGTGTCAGATGGGCACGTCTTCTTAGGGAGATCACTTCATGGTCAGTGTAGATGCCTGAACACTGCAGTGTACACAGTGAAGCTGATGTTGAATAATATTGTATGTCAACTATAATTTAATATACATATATAATCACAGGATGCGGAGTACAGTGTGGGGAATGGAGTCAATAGAGTTGGAATACATATGTATATCGAGGGTGGGGGCGCAGTGGATTAGGGGAGGGGGCTGTCACTTTGTGAGGGGTGAAAAGTATAACTATTGCATTGTTTTGTACACCTGAAACTAAAAAAAAAATTTTTTTAAATAAAGACAAAACCTAAAACAGTAAATCAAGTTCAAGCCCAAATCAGGACCTAAGTGGGCTCTGCTGCCGAGAACTGAACTACCTCCATCTCTCTAGTGGCCAACATTGCTCAGGGGTAGGCCACTAGCATTCCTTGGGCTCCAACAGGAGAGGTGAGCAGGCCAGTATCCAGACCATATACTCTATCCACAGTAGGCAGGGTTCCATTTTCCTTGAGTTGAACATTTAACAACAGGAGCTGTAGCCTGAAACAGTAACCCAAGGTTCTTAGCAAATCACATGTGTTTTGCTTGATGTTGGACCAGGCACACTTTGGTTTATGTAGTCCACAAATATAAGGCAGGCTTCCTCACTTCCACCTGGCTCAGGACACAACTCAGATCACTTCTGGGCCACCAAACAAGTTTGCAGGAGCTGGACCCAGATTCTCTTTAACCGATAGGTAGCTGTACAGGGTGCTGGCAGTGGAGGATTGGGGGTGGAGTGGGGTGCATGAGGATGCTTTGCTCCCTGTCTGACTGTAGGACACAGGGTTCACACTTATAATCCTAAAAGGTGATCAGCAGTTTTTCCTTCAAACTCCAGCACAGATCCAGTCCACCTGCAGACTCGAGACAGATGGTGGTGGGTTTGGGGTGGGCTCTCTAGTGGGGAGGGTTCCCTACTGTCTTCAAAACGCTTTGGACAAATGGCTGCTGAACTAATCTTTGCTTTCCTTTTGCCATCTGGCTGCTTTCAGATGCTGAATCCCTTCTTTCCCTTCTCTCCACCTCTGCAAATACTTCATTCAGAAACAAGATTATGTTCTCCTAGCAATAATTGTTCACTTTTCTTGCAGTCACAGCTGCTCCCCATCACTTTATCAGCAAACTTGACACATCCATAAGCTCATTAAAATCTTTTGATCAAATGCAGCTAATTAAAGGAGAATTAAGAAATACAGTATTCTGAATTTCAAAATTAAGTATGTCCCTTAGCACGGGCATACCTAATTAATGGGTACCATTTTAAGTTCTGGTTATCCTTGAATGTACACGTTCACATTAATTTTAGAATCAGTGTGAACAATTCTGTAAGTCCTGTTGAGATTTTAAAAATAAGACTGAATTCTTTACAATATTAAGTCTTCTCACTCATAACCATAAGATTCAACTCTGTTATTTAAGTTTTCTTCAATAAAGTTTATCTTCTCCAATAAGACTCTAGCCCATTTATTGTTAGGCTTTTTTCCTACAGAACCTTTTTGAAAATTGCTATTGTGAATGGTATTCATTTTCCTCCCATAAAATTTCCCAATATTGTCATTATATGTTTGTATATTCACTTTGTATTTAGTCACCTTTTTGAACTTTCATAGGTTCTGATAACCTGTCAGTTAACTGCCCTTAATCTTCTCGGTAGATCGTTTCCTACAAATAAGATTTGTTCTCACTTTCCAATATTTATGTAATGACTGTTTGTCTTATTGCAGGGGCTAGGACCTCTAAGAACACTGTAGAATAGAACAAATAAAGGGTATCCTTGTTTGCTCTCTGACAAGAATGCATCTAATATTTTATCCTTGAGTATGTTTGCTTATCTTTTAACAAGTTCAGAAATTTCTAGTTTCAAAAATTTTTTTAATAAAAAATAATATGGTGGGCCAGCCAAGTGGCTCAGTTAATTAAGAGTTAGCTTATGAGCGTGAGCTCTGAGCAACAGGGCCACCGGTTTGATTCACACATGGGCCAGTGACGCTGCGCCCGAGCTGAGCTGCCGCTGAGCTGCCAACAGGTGGCAGGATGGCTCAGCTGGTGAGAGCACGTGCTCCTAACAACAAGACTGCCTGTTTGATGGTGGGCTATGCCTGCCCACAACTAAGACTGAACTCGGCACCTAGAGCTGAGCTGCCACCCGGATTGCTCAGTGGATAGAGCATGCGCTCTTAACAAGGCTGCGGGTTCAACTCCTGCATGTGATGGTGGCTATGCCCACCTGCAACTATGATTGTAACACAGCACCTTGAGCTTAGAGGTCACAAGCTGCCGATGGGCAGCCAGATGGCGACTGGCGCCCTCCACAACGAAGATTGAAGAAAAACAACTTGGCTGGTCCCCCTCCCCAATTCCCCGTTTTTTTTTTTAAAAATGATATGGTAACAAGACTTACTCCAGTTTAAAATGAATTCTCTTGAGGAACGTATGATTAAAGATATATAACAGATCAATGTTATCTGTTTGACTTTGGTACCCAGAAAGCGCATAGCCCAACTGAGTATAATAACTGCATATCATAGTGCTTATCTATATTATATTGGTACCATTCCTTCCCAAACCTCTGCCGATTTTTTTTTTTTAATTGGTGAATTGGGGGGATGGGAACAGTGCTGGGGAATTGGGGGAAGGGGGACAGACAAGTTGCTGTCGTTTTGTTCTTCAGTCTAGTTGTGGAGGATGTTGCTTCACTGGCCCAAGTTGGCACCATCATTGCGCTCTTCCCGGGTGAGGCAGATCAGTCGCCGGCTTCTGGACGGCCGCTCACTGCAGCTGCTGGCCGCTCACGCTGGCTGCTGGCTACACACGGTAGCCCATGGCAACCCACTGCCACAGGGACTGCAGCCCACGCCGTCGCCGGCGACTCACAGCAGCCCAGCTCCAGGTTGAGCTGTTGTTCAGCATCTTAGCTGTAGAGGGCAGTGTCACTGGCCCTCATATGTGGGATCCGAACCGGGGCCCTCTGGCATCCCAAGCGAGTTCTTAACCATCGCGCCACTCGGCCGGCCCTGCCGATTTTGATTTATATCATCCTAGAGATTCTTCTCCCCCTACTATACTATTTTATAGCATTGATCTCATGTCAATTCCTACAAATCTGTAATAGAATGAGATGAAGTATAAATAAAAACATTAAACAAGGTGTGGCTACATTTGGATTTAAAATTAAGAACGAGAGAGATGTAATATGGGCAAAAAAAGGTACTGTGGGACCTTTTAATAACAAATCCATTAGTTATCAGGAAATCATGTGGAGACCTAACACTACTGTTAATAAGCCTCTTGGGTGGCCATATGAATCTCAGAAAACATCTGGAGTTAAAATGAATTCCGTGGGGCTCCAGGAATCTGGTCCAGTAGTTAAACGAGGCCTGCTTATGCTTACGTTGTTGAGCTTAATTATTTGTTATAAGTAGCCATTAGCAAATACATTTTAGTTTCATATAATGAGGAGAAATCAGGGGCCATTAACTAACATAGCTGATTAATAAAAATTCGTTGGATGTACAATCCCAGGCCATTTCAAATCCTTTTTGGAAGGCATCAAGGAAAAATGATTATACCTATCTTATAGTTGACTGATCAAACTAAACTAATAACTATTCCTCTCAACAGAAGTGTAAATAGGACCCATACTTTATGATTTTATATTTGTTAGACCTTTAACTATGACATGTGTATTTCTGTAATTTTAGTAAAAAAATCTCACTTCCTGTCTCTCTTTAGGGCTCCCAAATGTGGAAGAATGATAAAAGAGAATTTTAAGAAATGGTTTCTATTACCTAAATAGGTTAATACCATGGTCCCCATATGGTTTGCTTCTGTTCCACAACCACCCTTTCACAAAGACAGACAAATCTTTAATAAAAGAAGAAAAATTTATAAACATCTTAAACTGCCAGTCCATTTAAATCTGGCATATCCAATCTACTCAACTGATTTGTTTAATGTGGTAATTTTTAAAACAAAATTCAGTTGGAGGGTGAGCAATATATTTATGCCCTTGACAAAGATGACAAGTGTGACATTGTGACTAAGAAGGCAAATATAATTCCTGGTTATATTGTTGTTCTGGCTCATCAGAGCTCACAAAATAGGCGAGGTTCTTCCATGTCCAATGAGGTTAGGCAAACGTAATAGAAGGCGCACTAGGTTGGCACACATTTTCATCGTACAAGTTTTCTGGTAGTTCCTCTTCATCTCCATCAGGAAAATATGTAGGGAATGGTAGATTTTTACAGAAATCCTTATATGCAGGTAAATTAGAATCCCTGATCTAGGGGGAGAAAGCAAAGATCTTATTAAGTGCTACCAATTAAGTTACTTAATGATAGCCTGTTTTACTTATTATTCATAATCAAAGACTATCTGTTCTTATATTTTCTAAGGAACTCAATGTATTCTTTTTATACCAATAAATTAATCCATTGATAGTAACACAATCTTCAAGTTAACCAGCTATCTCATACGAAAATCACTCTGATTTATCTTATCCACAACTTATAAATCTCTAGAACTGCCCAACAGGATAAATTACATTTTATAATTACTATTTAAACATCGGTTATATCCAAATTGATTTTCTAAATATAAAAATCTGATATAAACTATATACCTAAAAGGCATTACTATATACTTCTTAGTTATTGATTTTATCTATTCATATTATGTATTTTTATTTTATTTTCTCCCATAGGATTTTTTGAGCCGAGGTTAAAAAAAAAACTTACCTAGTACTTTTTATCAGTCTTAATTATAAGACAAAAATATCAAGTTTTATTAAGGAAATGAGCTTATATTTAACATGCAGCATTCTCATTTAGAAGCTAAGGACAGAACAGTATTTAGCAAAAAAACAATAATACGCCCATAAGTCTTTATAATAGCCTATTGTCTTTATTTTCTAAAAATATTTTAATTATATCTGTGAATTCATAAACCAAGGAATAGTACAGATATTGATATAATCTAAAATACTGGGTTTTATTTTTGGAAAACATCATTGGGTTCTTTAAAGCTTATTATTAGACAGCCTTCATTCAGAGAGAAATAAAAAAATTACATGTAATTTATACACACAAGAGTAAAATAAGGCCATAATCACTTTGGCAATAAGAAATGAATAATTTGGTTCAAATAAGTACATAGTTTCTAGGAACAGCCAAGTACAAAAAAATATATCTATTTTAATCTCTTTCATTATCGGTAAGTTGCCCAGAATAAACATTTTTCCCCCCAATTCACTAATACTGGGTTGAACTTTAACTTGGGGGGATAAAAATGTCATATGCTTATTAATTTAAACTGTCTCAGAAGTTAGAACTGAAAATAAAATTCAAGCAAATAAACAACAAAACCAACAAAACTTTCTGTGCTAATTTGATAAATGTAAACATTCAGTCATAAATGTGAATTTTCTCACTTTTACAGTTTTACAGATTTATCATATCTGAGGAACATTTTGGACAAAAGCACTGCTTACCTATTCTAACAGTAAATGCTACAGTGCTATAATTCATTGATTTGAAACATAAATGATGACATCGGCTCTAACGTTAAGGCCAAAGTGTGCAGCCCAGCTTTACCAAATGTGACTCCATGGTATTTTTGTGCGCTTCATCTTACCCCTGGCTTTATTATTTACCTGCCTTAGTCAAGACCCCCTCTACAATCTACCTTATTCTTTTTATATTTACGTATATTGGCAAACCAGTCAAATCCTTTTGAGCTTGAAAGGTGGGGGTAGGACACACACGAAAAAATGGGCACATTTGAAAATAAACTTAAATTATAAATGAGAATATAGGGATGAGTGCATTTAAAAATTCATCTGTTATCCAATATAATTTTATTATGGAAAATAATCATTTTTCTTTTTTCTCTTTTATTAGGTTGTGATATTTATAACATCATAAAGCTGGAATGTGGAGGTAGGGATACGTTGAATTATGAAGCCAAAATGTGATGAGAAGTACAATGACAACCTGCTACTTCAACTACCTGTCACTGCAGTCACTTGGAGATTGGAAAACTACTGAAATCTAAAAACCTACAAACTTAAAAAAGAAAAAAAAAAAAAAACACTTGCAAATATTCATTAAATGCAATTTTTTAAGAAAAATGAGAATAGTCAAAAAGTAAAGAGTATCAGAAAAGGAATTTTAATTACTGTAAGATTAAAACAAATATTGTACCTTGTGCTAGTAATAGAAACTACTTGAAGAAATAAAAAGCATACATAGAAAGAGACCCAATCTGAAAAATCTGAGGTTTAAATGTCAACATATTTTTGTTGTTGTTGTTGGAAATATGAAGAATATATTTCCAGGACTACCTGTTATCACTTCTACTACAAATTTATTTTAAAAATGAAAGATTCAAAATTCAAAAGTGATCTCTCAGGTTGTATTATGCTACTGGTTTAAATCCCAGGCAGAATATTTATTTTGTATTTTATTTGATGGAAATAAGTTTCTGAGAGCTCGAGTTTTTGTTCAAATCTATCCTGTAGACATGTTTGTTTTCTTCTTTTACTTTATATTTTTGAGCATAAACATGAACATGCACATTTTTAAGGAAAATACTTAAAGGTGCAATCAGAGTAATGCTAATAATAACAACAGAATCTCTCCTTAAAAACATCTACCTTTAATCATCTTTCTTCTTAACGCTCACATTTAATTTCCACCTCATGTATTTATTTCTGGTTCCTGTGTCAAAGTACTCTTAAAAAACTGAAAAGTTCTTTTTTGAAAGGACAGGAATACATTGATATTTTGGCAATAGTATCCTAACCTCCTTTTTATATTTCTAAAGAGCCTCTGCTTACTGGTCCTACCCTTTTTGCAGGTTCATCGTTTTACAGACATATACTACAGGTTCTTTTGTGCAACTTTTTTTTACTCGGGTACTACCAAAAAGCAAAACAATTTAGCAGGGAACGTGTGGAAAACAGCCATTTATTTTCAAGCTACATTTATGGGGCAAAGGAGAATTTTATTCACATTCACATATATGAACAATGGAAAATAAGGACAGCTATACATACCTTTACTAAGCAATTTTTATGTCCAGGTACAGAGCCATTTACATAGATTATATTGTGCTTTGTGTTTATTCTCCACACCTAAAGCAAGAAATGAAATCAAACTTTAAAAGTGAAAAATTTGAGAACACAGACACACACACACACTCAAGTTCATGTATCCTTTACCCATCAATAACTGTAAAACCTATTAGAATCATTACATTATTTAAACATGAAATTGAACAGACCATAATTAAAGAGACACACATAAATACATACTCTGGTGCCTTTGCATTTAGGCATTGGTTTAACCATTCCTATTATCAAAGAGCCACTTCAGAAACTTACTTTCAGTCCAAATGCTGTCCTATCTATGTTTCCCATCTTCCCAGGCATTTTAGTTCCAGGCCAGACTCGGGCAACATCCTGTTTGAGGAAACCAAGATGAGCACATTTAAAGTACTCGCAATTTCAAACAGCACTGATCAAACCAAAATGTAAACTAAGATAGAAGCTACGAAAATGTTTCATGTTTCCCCCATTCTGCTAGGCCCCAGTAAAGAACTAAATATGGATTTAGACACATTTAGCCTAGAAGGGTAATCTAATCTAAATTAGAGCAACAAAATAAATACAGACTAAGAACAGATTTAGGAGAAAAACTCAGTAACAAGAAAGTAGCCACTGAGCTAATACTGATTGAGAAGTAAAAAAGAAAAATAAAGGGCATCCAAACACATCGCACCACCATTCAAAGAAAAAACTGACTGCCTGGCCTGTTTCCATTAATCTTCTGTATTAACTGAGTTAATGGACTCCATCCACACCGCTGCTGCTGAAATGGTCCTACTCTGCCAGCCTTGCTTTTGATGTTACTTTTGTCACCAGGATGATTAAAGGACACAGTTAGTTATCTGAATATTGAATTTGTTTGTTCAGCCCTGGTTGTCTCTGATTCATGTAAATCAAACAGCTTCACAGTCTCTCTGATTTTGGCTTTGATAATGGATAATATTACATCTAAAGCAGAAAATATGAATTACATCTAAAATGGGAAAGGTTCTCAGAACACATGAATTCCTGGAATATAAAAATCTATCACTACTCTCACAGTTAACAGGCAAAACTCCCAGTGAAAGTAACTCATAATATTAACAGATAACCAACACAGCTTCAAAGACAATTCTGAATATTATAGACAAAGTATCACTCTTACTCATTCTACAAATACACTCTGTGATAAGCTCTTTGCTTAATATTACATTACTAAAAAAAGACAGCCCTCCCCAATTAAATTTGTTCTCCTTAAAAGTATACCCTAACTCTTAGGATTGTAAAGGCATTCACTAGCTAATCCTTAATGAAAGTATTTACAAACACAGAACAGTGTATTTCATGACAAATAATTAATCTGAATTATAAGAATAGGTTCTTCTGCATGCCTCATTTTTAAGAGTTTTATTGAGATATAATTCTCATACCACATATTTCACCCTTTGAAAGTGTACAGTTTAATGTTTTTAGTATATTCAGAGAGTTGTGTATTACTACAGTCAATTTTAGAACATTTTTATCAATCCTAAACAGAAATTCTATACCCATTAGTGGTCACTCCCTCCAACCCCCACCCCCAGCCCTGTGCAACCACTAATCTACTTTCATCTCTACAGATTTGCCTAGGATGGACATTTCATATAAATGGAATCATACAATATGTAGTCTACTGTGCTTCAGGTGTACAGCATGGTGATCAGACATTTATATAACTTACAAAGTGATCCCCCTGGTAAGTCTTACACACCCACCTGACACCATAGTTATTATACTATTACGGACTATATTCCTTAATAAGCTGTACTTTACATCCCCATAACTATTTTGTAAATGACAATTTGTACTTCCTAATCTCTTCACCTTTTTCACCCAGTCCCCACACAGACCTGGCAACCATCAGTTTGTTCTCTGTGTCTATGAATTTGTTTTGTGTTTTCACTTGCTTTGTTTTCCAGATTTCACATGTAAGTGAAATCATATGGTACTTGTCTTTCTCTGACTTATTTCATTTAGAATAATACCCTCTAGGTCTATCCATGTTGTTGTAAATGTAAGATTTCATTCTTTTTTATGGCCAGTATTCCATTGTATATATATGTATTAAATCTTCTTTATCCAATCATCTGTCAATGGGACACTTAGGTTGCTTCCATATCTTGGCTACTGTGAATAGTGCTGCAATGAACATAGGGGTGCATATATCTTTTCGAATCAGTGTTTTGGATTTCTTCAGATAAACACCCAGAAGTGGAATTGCTGATCATAAGGTAGTTCTATTTTTAATCTTTTGAGGAACCTCCATACTATTTTCCACAGTGGCAGCACCTATTTGCAAACCCACCAACAGTGCATGAGGGTTCCCTTTTCTCCACATCCTCGCCAACATTTGTTGTTTGTTGATTTTTTGATAATGGCCAGTCTGATAGGTGTGAGGTGATATCTCATGAGGTTTTTATTTGCATTTCTCTGATGATTAGTGATGTTGAGCATCTTTTCATATGTCTACTGGCCATCTGTACGTTCTCTTTGGAAAAATGTCTATTCAGGTCCTCTGCTGATTTTTTAATCGGATTGTTTGTCTTTTTGGTATTAAGTTGTACGAATTCCTTATATATTTTGGACATTAACACCTAATTGGATATATCATTGGCAAGTATCTTCTCCCATTCAGTAGGCTGTCTTTTCATTTTGTTGACGGCTTCCTTTAGTTTGACGTAGTCCCATTTGTTTATTTTGTTCTTTTGTTTCCCTTGCCCAAAGAGACATGCCCAAAAAAATATTACTAAGAGCAATTATCAGAGAGTTTACTGCCTATTTTGCCATCATTTTTAAAGCACTTCCTTGATTTCTTGAACAAGCTGGTTTGGGTTCATCTTGTAGTCTTCCTGTCTCATGCACAATATCAGTCATTTCTCCAGTGAGTCCCAGTTCCTTTTAGTGGGGAATGGTGTATAGAAACCAAGATCTAGGCTCTAGGTGTGCTCACTGCTATGGAATATCTTTGCTTTTAGGTCCTTTCAGCAAACATAACTAAAACGTAAGTATACATATATGCATATCTATATTTCTTTTTCTTTACATAACCAAACAGCAAATATATACTGATACTTACAACTGGAATTCAACAATATAAGGTGTCCATTCTAATTTCCCTCCTTTTCATAACTTAACACCCTTCTCCAATAATGAGAAACTTGGCTCCCATTATCAATATATTTACTTATATTCTCAATCCTACAATTTGCAGAAAATTATTTCAGAATTACTAACTAATACCACTGCAAATAACAAACATCATTAAAATTCAACACCCGTGCACATACACTTTAAATTTAGATTCAGGGCATACAGCCAACTACTATGTTCAAAAGTTACTTGCGTTACTCTCCTCATGTTCTTCCCATGCTCTTGATGGGGTTATGCTATTCACTTGAAACAGTTAGGTTCACTTTCTAATCATATTCCATTATGGATTTCCCCCCTCATCCTTGTTTTTATTTTGAATATGTAAAACATTAACATGGTTCCCAAAGTAAAAAGTGTAACAAAAAAGTATATCTAGGAAAGTGTCACTCCTGCCACTTCTAAGCCCTTCCACTGTTCCCACCCATCCTTTGTAGGTAACCAATTTCATTAGTTTCATATTTATTTTTGTGGTTCTTCTTTTTGCAAAAATAAGCAGACAATATGTGCATTTCCTTATATCCTGGAAATCACTCCATTGTTCAGAAATGGCCTTTTCATTCTTTTTTCATCTGTGTAGTATTCTACTGGGTAGATGTACCATATTTCATTCATCCCAACTCCCGGGTATGGACATTTATGCTTGTACAAATAATGTTGCAATGACTAATTTTGTGCAAATGTATTTTTATATTTTTGGGAGAATATATTTAGGGTAAATTCCTAGAAGAACTGCTGAATAGCTCTGTTAGATACTGCCACATTCTCCCCCATAAAGGATGCACTATTGTGTATTCTCACCAGTGGCTTGATAACACAATCTGCTAGGTGAAAAATTAGTAACTCAAGAGTAGCTTCAATCTGTATATTCCTTAAGAAAGAAGTAAACTATAGGTACACATATATATGTATATACACATATATTAACCTTGCATTACTCTGATGGTCCAAAGAATACCACTACCCCCATCCCAGCTCTTCATGCTGTATCTCTGGGAAAGGACTGAATCAGTAATACAAAAGTCCTTCTCCATTTCCCATGCGTTTACTGGTTATTTCTCCATTTCTTCTCTAGCACTTTCCTCTTGTACTATTATACCGTCCTTGACAATCTTTCCTAACTGTCTCTTTTAAGGCAAAAAAACAAAACAACCCCCACCCCCCAAAAAAAACCTGTGAAGGAATCAGTGGAGCCAGATGAAAGGGCATTCTACTCCCTGATTTCTTGCAGCTGACTTCAGAGTGCAGCATGGGAGACAAAGATGGGACTGAGAAAGCGGGCAGAAAATACTGAGAATACTGACTGTAGGTATGTATTAGACTTATATAAAAGTCCAAGCACGTGGTATTAAGGAAAAGGAGGTGAGGGACTTAAAGTTATGACTGGCTAAGGCTCTGTATAAGAGAATGCGTAATTTAATGTTTCCAACTGCACTCTATGACTCTCTAGAGATCACTGCTATGTGATTTCATTCCCTCGCCATATTGTGTAGGAATAACTAGTAATGATTCAAGTCTGGCTCTGGAAAGTCAGCAAAGCCAAGACCCAAAAAAGGGGGCCAAGTGCTAGGACCCATCTTGAGTCAGACAAAAATTATGTGACTTGTTCTCAAGGACAGACTAAAGCACTATATGCGCAGAAGTTGAGTATTTAGCCTTAAAAAGAGCATCACCGAGTTATACTTACACCAGTTGAAATAGCTCCAGGTCTCCGATGGGTTTTCGTTTGACCGTGAGTAGCAGGCTGGCCTTTAAATCCCCATCTTTTCATGACACCTTGAAAACCTTTACCAATGCTGAACAAGACAAACATTAGAATTTACATACTGAACAGAGTATAAAATATTCCCAATTGTACAAATGTACACTTTCTTGATAGTGTACCTTATAAGTTTTAACAAAGCTCTTTAGCTAAATAACTAGAAAAGGCTATATCAGCAAAACTGCAAATGAACATTCCTTTATCTGACCTGGTTTGCACCCCTTCCTGGAGTCTCATTCTATATAAAATGATTAATTCAAGATTGTGAGACAACAGCAAGCTAAGTGAAGGGAGTTCAATCTGAACAGGGAGTTTTATCATCATAACCCCATGAAACAGCATAGTAAAAGTGGTAAATTTCTAGAAGTTCCGAAGTACTCATGAAAGATTTGGCAGGCAACCATTAAGATCCCCAAACCTCCTGGTACCTATGCCCTTGTGTATCACCTCCCCTTGAGCCTGAGTGACCCAGCAACTTCTAAGGAATAAACGATGGCAAAAGTGATAAGTTGTCACCTCTGACATTAGGTTACAGAGACTGTGGCTTCCATCTTGGCACTTTCTTACTTGCTGCCGTAACAAAAGCTATCCTATAGAGAGTCAGGAGGTAAGGATGTCTCCAGTCAACAACTTTGGACCCGAGGCTCAGTAATAGCCATGTTCGTGAGCCTGGAGGCAGTTTTCCCCAGGTCAAACCTTAAGATGACTGCAGCCTGACTGGTGCCTTGGTGTAGCTCGTGAGGCCCCCTGAGCCAGACGTACCCAGCTAAGTTGTACTGGGATTCCTGACTACAGAAACTGTGAGGCAATAAATTTTTGTTGTTTTAAGCTGTTATGTTTTAGGGTAATATGGTAGGTAACAATAGATAACTACCACAACAGAACACTAACTAAAACAATAATAATGCCCTAAATGCTGAACATTTTACTTTCAGAAGATACCAGATAGATCTTGGTTTGAATAGGAAGCTAATGGAGAAATGAGAGTAACAATTTCTTAAAATATCATTTCATTTTTTTAAACAAAAGCATTCTATTTTCAAAGTCTGCTAACTAGAGAAACATTCTGCCATACAAACAAAACTAAGGTTGAAAGCATTAAGAAAGTCTGTCTCTAACTGTCAAATATATCAACACAAATGGTACAATGAAAGGGCTAGAATGAATTGTAAGTTATACTGGACACATTTTTATAGACTGTTAAGACGAACATTTTTTTTCAGCTTTCACTAGATAATATGTCAACATATTTTGTGTTTCCTAACCCTAACAAAGCTAGCTATTATTAAATAGACAGTGGCTAATTCAGGCAATTTACAAAAAGGAGCAAAGGCAATTGATTACAAAAACCATGTCATTTCCTCAAGGACTTAGCTACGGATTTAACAAAGAATTATCAGAGAGTAATGAACTGAAGTAAGTCCATATGGATACTAGTTTTAGATAAACTATTAAACATAAGAATTCAACATAAAAACAATATGAACTAATGTCAACTATAAGTGAATATACACACACACACACATATAGTTATGGGACATGGAGTAGAGTGTGGGAGTGGAGTCAAGGGAATTGTAATAGATATGTATGATATTGTGGGGGAAGTGGGGCAGCGGATTGGGGGAAGGGGGTTGTCACTTCGAGGGGTAAAAAGTATAACTATTGCACTGTGTTGTACAGCTGAAACTAATTTTTTAGAATGTATTTCATAATAAAAAACAAACAAAAATATGAACTATGTGTAGAACCTAACAGCTGCATATTATCAAATCACAGGTCAAAAGTTATTTGTATATGTATATGAATAATTTAATTGTAGTTTATACCATTTCCTACATATTAATACATTACTTATCATATACAAAATTCTTTTTTGCCTCAAAAACTCAAAATAATGCTTATTCCTGATGAAAGAGCTAAAATGGAAACTTCATTTACCATTTTACTTGAAAAAAACCATTTTGCAAGTAGGGTAACATATAAGAAGAAAAACTATGATAATCCAATATTTTACTGAAATTTTGCCTCAGTAACTTAGTTCCACTTAACACTGAATTTTAGAACAGAGTTGAAAAATAAAAAGCTTGGCAATTTAAAAATAAAAAAGAAATACCTAAAGAGTCATTTGAACCTAGGATATTGTTTGGCAAATAACACTTTAAAGAAAAAACGGGAGGGGACTGGCAATGCTAAATCTAAAATGAACAGGTTTTAAAAATACCACATTGTAACACTCGCCATTGTTGGTAGAAAGTTTGCCGGTATCCTCTGAGTTCCCAAACTGATTCATCTCTTACTTAAAAGATAGTTTAGCTCATTTTAAGAGTAACTGATTATAAGATGAAAATGGTATCCTGAAAGTGCTAATTATCTGTCGGCTAATTACAGATTTTTAAATCTAGCTCTAGAATGCATCATGTTGTTTTATACTGTGTACAATGGGAACATCTTCAATAAGCAACTTTTAAACAAAAGGATAAAACACAAATAACATGACAAATTATTGGCTTAATTCATATTATGGAGAATAGAGTGCACCTGTTGATACATGGGTGGTACAGGTATCTATTCTATTGCTTCTCTCAGTTGTCACCCAACTTGAGAACAAAACAAAAGAAGTGAACTAATCTATACTTAGCATCTCAGGCACATTTCACATATAAGGTTTTCACAGGTCCTATAAAACCTTCATTTTATTAGAAATGATACACAACATACAACACACAAGCTTTATCCCCTCCACCCCTTTTCTGCTGCTGTTTTTAATGACAGCAGAAAAAATCAAATAAAGGAAAATTCAAATAAAAAAGAACACAATGTAAAAAATTCCAAATTGAGTGAAACATCTGAAAATTAGGAAAATATAAAAAAAGTATTTTATTTAGAGCATTTCTACTTGTTAAGCCAAAGAGTCATAAAAAAACTCAGAGATACCATTTAAATTGAGGAGACTTTATTGTCGTTTCTTGGTCCATTTCCTTTGTATATTTTTAAATTCATGAAGGGCAAGAATTGTGCATTATTTAACGCTAGTGCCCACCTAGAGAAGTCAGGGTGATTTTGTTACTGGCTACAGCTGTGTCTTAGGACAAACGATGGTTAGTTGCCTTTATTTTGTCCTGTAGTTTCCAAATGCTGTATAATGGGCATGACTTTTATAAAAGTCTAAGCACATGGTATTAAGGAAAAGGAGATGGGGGACTTCAAGGTATGACTGACTAAGACTCTGAAGAAAAGAATGCATAATTTAATGTTTCCAACTGCATTCTATGACTCTCTAGAGATTACTACTATGTGAATTTCATTCCCTTGCCATAATTGTGACAAATGCCCAAATGTCTACTAGCAAACACACAGGGTTTAATTTAATGCAAACCCATCAGTATTTCCCCACTTTGTGGGAAATTGCCTTTGATTGCATGGTTCTGGACATACTTATATATGGCGATATGTAAAATAAAATGCCTGAGACGAGGAGTGCTCTCAACACCATCCATTCTGAGTCCTCTGAGAACTTCTTCCAAAATTCTCATCACCGAGTCTTCCCCCTCACCACCGGGTTCTTCTACCTTCTCTCTCCTCTGCACTCCTCTTTCTCCTCCTCCTTGGGAAGCCAAATGCTTCTTCTTATCTCACCTAGCACCTGCAACCTTATCTTTCTCTCCAATTGTTGTCTGGAACTCACTCTGAGGTTAATGCCTTAATTCCCAAATCACAAGCCTTTTATTAAAATAGCTTTTTAGTGTGGAAGTTTTAAAACATATTCAAAAGCAGAGAGACTAGTACAATGAAGCCCTATGCAGCCACCACCCAGAGTCAAACAATTATCCACTCCACGGCTCTTTTGTTTCTATTCTCCTCCGCTACAACTCCAATGGATTATTTTGAAACAAATTCTAGATATCATTTCATCCATCAATATTTCAATAAGGATCTCTAAAAAATAAGTACCTTTTTTAAGAACAAAACCACATTACCATTATCACAATCTAAAAAAATTAGAAATTCCTATCAAACATCCAGCCAGTGTTCAAATTTCTATGGTCTTTTAAAATAGACGAGTTTTACTCTATCCCTTCTTGCCACCCTCTCCCCACCACCCCTAATCATCATTTCCCCCTATTTTTGTGCTTCCCTAATGCTCTTTGAGAAGTTCCTTTTCCCTTGCTGCTACACAGAAAGATGATCTTAGAGTCCTGCCTCTGACGATCTTCTCACTAGGGTTTAAACCAGGGGCTGGCAAACTATGGCCTGCATTGAAAACTTGCTTTTGTAAATAAAAGTTTTACTGTAACACAGCCATGCACACTTACTTACTTACTGCCTATGGCTGTTTTAGAGCTATAATGGCAGAGTGGTTGCTACTGAGAACACAATGCTTGCAAACCTAAAATATTTACTATCTGGCCCTTTGAGCAAAAGTCAGCTGACACCCTGAAGCTATTACTAATAAGCTGGAGTTCCACAAACCTTGCCCTATGGCAAGAATTCTGCTATCATCCAAGTCTACAGATGTACCAACTAGATCTAACCAGAAGTACCTCAGCCATTCAATTATGTTTCAGAAACAAAAATGGATCACCTCCCCACTCTTCAAGCTATCCTCCTCCATGGCCACTAGAGTGAAATTCTCAAGCTAATAAGCTTATCGTACAAGCGGTCTCCTGCTCTAAAGAACAAAACAGCAACAACAAAAATAAGCAAACGAGCTAAACCACAATCTTAAATGTTCCCTAGCAATTTTGTTAGCTTGGGGTATATAATGCCTTTTATAACTGGCCCCAGCCTACCTTTTCGAACACTGCCCATCACATATCTAGTCATAGCAGATTACTCTGTGAATCCCTAAATACGCCACTGTCTTCCATGACTTTGATCATTCTGTTCCCTCTGCCTCAACACCCTTCTTGCTGCATTGTCTATCTTTCCACTATTACCATGAAAAAGGACCAAAGGTGTTTGTCATCAAGTGTTGCATGAGCTGTAAAGTACTTGATTTTCTTTATTAGAAAAATCAAAATCCATACTATAAAC